ATATCATTTCATTGTAGGTAGTATAGTTACTCAAAGTTACACCCCGATCTCTGTTTCTGTAAATGTAACTGTATCACGAGATAAGGAAAAACTTTTCCAATGAAAAATGTTTCACTTTGGGAGATCTGTCAATCTATGGTGAAAATTTAAGAATAAGAATAAAAAGAAATGTTAAATCTTTAGTCGTTCATTTTACCCCATCAGTCATCTTCTGTCAATAAAAGAATCACTGCCTGCGTAACTCGTTATACTTCACTGTGCACGCAAACTTTTATTAAAATCAGAAGTTTTAGACTAGAGAATTGCGTTTAGCGTATTGGATGTTGCGGGAATTGAGGATCGCAAAATGGTACAATTAAAACATTTGGAAAATTAACCCTTTGTATTCGAGGGGTGAGCTTCAGTCACCATTTCATAAAATTTGGAAGATCGATATTAATTAATATATCAAATTTAATGTAACGTAACAGTGTGTGAGGTATCGAAATTAAATAATTCTACAATTCTATTATTATAAAATTCTTTATTTACTGCTCAAAAAAGTATCGTCAATTTTTTAATAGAGAATCCTTGATTTTCTACTCTTCTCTAGCCAAAACATCGTCGAATACAAAGGGTTAACCTTTAACCTCGTTAACCTACCATTTACTAAATGAGCATTTTCAAAATTCCGTATTAAAATTAAATTTTCACCATTTTCTTTTCTATCTACTTTTTCTATATTTTCTTCTAAATGTCATTTGGCCAGTCATGGTAGGTTTGCTTCGGTTTGATTAAACATAAATTGGTCGAAGATTGGATACATTTTCACAGTCTCTTCATGGGCTGACACTGGGTAAGAGCTCTATCCTTTGGCTTGGTGTAAACGATCAGAATCCACGTTTCTATGCCGTGGATTCTGTTCGAGGATGGAAGTTTCGCGGTTGGAGACAGTTGGTGGTGCTAGAGATGGTGGTTTTTGTTTGCGTGGACGAAAGTAGTTGGGGATTCCTGGGTTTTGCGCTAGGAGTAACAGAAGTGGAATTGATGACGTTTTTGTCGATGATATTAGCAGTATAACAGATCATTAATGGTTAACCTCTTCGACAGTGTGAATTAATTCGTCAGAAAAATCATTCATCGAGTATATTAAATTATTTTGTGCATTACTATACCTCCTTACGTTCCTTTTACGCTATAATAAAGTAAAAGTCTACTCATTTCTAATTTTTCTCATCCTTAATCTTAATCCATGTATAGTTTTTGTAATTCCTTCGTAGGACAGAGAAAAAAGAAAATTAAATTATTATTTTCCTTTAAGAAAATGATTACCAATTAGCATAAAACGCATCTGTGTCTGTTCTCCGCGACGTATGTCACATGGAAGGAGACACGAAAAAAGAACGTGAGAGGATGTTGACAATCTGCATTATTCTGCACTATCATTGCCATTATAATAAATAAAAAAATCTGCGTCTTGCGCAATTTGAGCGTTTGCAGAGAAAAACTCTCGAGGAGCCAGCCGAACGAATATAATTGATGTTGGAATATTAAACTGGGAGACATCGACGACAAAAGCAGAGAATTAAATTGCATAATAGACGAGCTAAACCTCTGCGTACTTTGTAACTCGTAAATTGCATGTAAGTATTTTTTTAATCCCGCGATTACTATCGTATTATTATACTTCATGATATTCATTACGTTCCATTATTATACTCCATTACTGGACCATTACACTAACAGCCTAATTGAATTAATTAGTCAATTAATTAACTCGGCGAAATAAAAGGTAGAAATTTATTTTTCATACAACAAGTTAAACATCGATCAACTATTTCGGCGTTGAAATTAAAAGATTAAAAAATTCAAAGGAAATTAACATAGCGGTGTTGATCGTTTTGGTCCATAAACTCTTAGATAGATAGCAACGATAAAGAAGCGCAGTCAATTAGAATTTCATTTCTAATAAAACCTCTTCATTCTACTTTCCATTACTGTATCATTATACCACTTCACTAACAGTATATTAAACTTTCCTACCCCCACCCTATAAACGCTAATAATATTCCTTATGTTTTCATTCTATTCATCGTATACCGTACTATTATACCCAATTACTATACCATGCCATTAACAGTTTGCTTACACAAATTTTTAATCCATCCTTTATATCCCGCACAGCTTCTAACATCAAACAGCGCTTGATTAATAGCGCTATACTACTCGCGCCGATAAACAAGCAAATTTTCATTAGAAAATTAACGACCACCCGAGAGATATCGCCAGGACTCGCGCGTCGACGCTGTCGAAATTTCCGAAAACACGGGGAAAAAGGGGGAAAAAAAAATCGCGATTCGATCGATCGCGTTAACAGGCCCAAAAAGAGGGAGGCACACGGCAGCCACGTGTTACGAAGCAGACGCACCCGCGCCAATAACGATTAATCTTTCAACGACTTTCGATTCCCGCTACCTGTGCAATTTATTCGTTCTTCGATTCGCTTAACGCGACCAGCGTTCGTTTATTTTTTCAGGGCCGTGGCTTTCCATTTCATCGGGCGTTCCGCGAAAAGAAGCTCGCGGGGGAAAATCAAAACGCGGCCACAGGGCACACACGGCGGTGAAAAACGGAATCCGCCGATAAAGGATAGAGAAAAGGAAAGAGGAAAAATAAAAAGGGAAGGACGAGGGAGGGAAAGAGGGTGGGAATTTTGATGAATAAGCGGGAATTCGGTAACGAATTTTGGCGGGAGCATTGATCAAGCGTTACCGGGGCTATCGTAATGCGACATTCGAAGCGTGTCGCTTGTTGCGGGCCACGGCGTTAATTTAAACGTCACGTTATCTCCGCGCACGTCGCGCATTTTATCATAACGTTCCGGCAGCCGATGCCGGCCGCCGTTCACGCGAAATTCGTGTTACTCCTTGGCGACGTTCAAGGCCTGCCTACTGCCCGCTCTCGAATATTTCCCGCTGCTAAATTATTCAACGAGTGACCTGTTGTACGTAAACGCCACCCCCACGGCTTTCCCTTTAACTCCGACACGCGCCCCGTTCCTCGTATTTTATGCCGCTCACCGTTCCTACCACGTACCGGCGATTTTAATATTAATTAAGGAAAGTGCAGCCAATCAGCTGGCACTGACTGATGTGCCACCAGGATCCGTCCAATGGACTTTGCCAATTCTCCTTTACCCCCTCGCGCTACGATTCAATTCCGAAGGGCTCCGGGGAATTATGTAAAATTGCGAAAAATCGTGGAAAATCGTGGAAAATTGGGAGCTTGGAAAATACGTAATTTTTCGCCTCCGATTTTAGGATTCGCGCGAGTTTTGCGTACGTTAAGCGAGTTTCGCGATATTAGTCGCGTGACAAGTGCAGGCTATTATTGCACTCTTTGGCATGACTCGTTGTTGTAGTACAAGAGGTTAACGCGTTGTCTGTCACGCAAGTTTCACGTGATGCTTCCAACAGGCTAGGATAGAATTTTTGTTACCACTTACGCGAGGTTCTTACGCGATGAACTCTCGATTTCATGTAATTACACGTGGTTTCAGTGCCCGCGGATGCAAATCGCAAATAGCAAAGTACCAGCAGCTGTTATTTATGAGTATACGATTCTGAAAACTGATCGTTGCGTCAGGATGAAAATCGAAGCTGGTACAGGAGCAAAGTATTCCAGCGAAAATTATGCACAGTGTCTTTTTATACTCTGTTTCTTCCTAGAAATTTTCTTTCGCGTTAACAACACGTGAAACAAAATTCAATTCGCAAAAAGCTGAACGGATCTCGATTCGCAATATCCTCTAATTACCTACGTTGTTCCAAATTTAATCGTTGCAAATTTAACGATATTCGCGAATAATCGGAATTTCGTACGAGAACGAAGGATTTCGATTATGACACTTCGATGAACCATGATCGCAGCGACTCCGTCGCGAAAATACACTCCTGTCACAGGTGAGCAATAGGTGTCGGCGAACGCGCGAAAATAAGAATAGCTGGCTGGAGGTAATATCCGAGACTAAAGAAATTTGTCGGATTATCCAGATTCCGAATGTTTCGACACGCTTAGAAGACGAACGACGAGGCGTGAAAAATCGGCAGAAGGTAAGAATGCCGTCGTGCAGGCGTCCAATTCGCACGGTTGAATTACACGGTCGGGACCATAAATTCCGCGCGACGGCCGGCCAAATTAATTAGTTTCCCGGTGAATCAGAACTGCGAATTATATTTAGCGAGACGCGCGGCGCTCATTGTTGCCGCGAGCGTCGAATTCCGCGTCCGGCGTGTTCCTCGAGGAAACAAATGCCCGGTCGGAACAGAGCGCGTCGGTTTACGCGTCGCCGTATCGATGCCTGGCCGAGAGACGCGACCGACGGACAACCGTGGAATTTCACCCGGCATTTTTCATCCCCGCCTGCAACGCGGGACCACACCGGTCGCATTCTCCACGGTGGATAATTCGTAAAAAGCCGCGCGACGCTCGCGCGACCGGTGGCCCCTGATCGCGTTATCGCGGCAATTCCGCCGGTCAGCCATCGCTTCACTACCGGTCGCGCTCCACGTCTCGGGGGAGGCCGCGAGAACCGGTCCCGACCGCGTTTTTCGCCCGGTGCACGTGACACGCTCCGCGTACTTTCGCGAATCCTGAAATCTACGCCGGCTAACGAGACTCCGCACGACGACGACTCAATCCCCGCTATCTTATCCCCATCGCGAAAAGCCGCGCGAAATTTCACCTCCTCCAAACATCCTCGCGTGATCACATCGAATCGCGTACATCGAATGGCGAAATTCGCCATTTTCGAACACCTTCGGAGATGCAAATAATTCGCGAAGGATCAAAATAGGGGTGGAAAACCATGAGACATATCTCGTTTGCAAATATCGTCGCAGGATTCGCCTATGAGATATAGTAGATCGATGAAACTCGCGGTTTTAAAACACCTTGGGTCCCTGAAGGACACAATGAAGAAGGAGGGACAAAGAAGCTGAAGATGGACGAGTAAGGCTCACCTCCGTCGCTTCTTTTTCCGTCGCCTCCGTCGGCGAGGTCTCCGTCTGGTTTCCCCCCTGTGCAAGGGGGTAGCTATGTTCCCCTGTAGTTTCAGGGCCGTTGCTGCTACGCTGGCCCCGGTCTCCCCTTCTGCCTGGCTTCTTCCCTGCACCGGGGGCCCTGTTGTCCGTGCCCCGGCGCTGGGCTCCGTCGTGGCTGGTTCTTCCCTCCACGCACCGGCACCTCCTCGGGCAGCCCCGTGGCCCTGGTCGTGGTCTCGCTCGTGGTCGTGGTCCTGGCAGACCGAGTGCGAACCCGTACAGTAGTCACCGAGCCAGCCAGCAACGAATTACACGGCCTCGAATGGAAACGACCCGACACCGTCCACCAAACATGTGTCCTTCGTGGAAACTTACTCTGCTCTACGAGGCGAAACGACCATGCGAGTCCAATCACCATCACCCTTCTCTCACTCGAGCCCGTTCGCCACCACGGTTTCACGGGATCCGCGAGCGGAACCGTGTTCCAGCGAGCGTCGCACTGTCAGTGTTCCTCTCGACGACCGACGTCCGCGCCGTTCCACGACACCCGACCACGACGTGCTCTCCACGTTCCGTGCGCGAGATCGCCGAGGTAGTAGAGAAGACGAGCAGCAGCAACAGCAGTGCGAACCGTCCTGTCGTCGAACGTTCACGCGGACCGCGAGTGCCAGCCACAGCCAAGCCGTCTGCCGATGAATAACAATAAAAAATAAGCGAGCGATTGCCTTAGCGAGTCATGAACCCGGTCGGTTCATTCGATTGTCATCCGTAGCCGATGCTTCTTCCCCTGTCGTTGTTGCAGCTCGAGGATCGCGCGAGGTCGCCTCTCGAGGGAACATTCGCCGGCGTCGCGACGGCCGATGATGATGCTTCCTCCTCGTCGCCTAGCGCGCACGAGACACCGCGTCAACTCTCTTCCGACTGCTGTTCCGTCCACGCCGAGTAATCCGGAGCCTCGTATCCAAAGGATCGTCTCTGTTAACTGGACGCACTAGCCTGTGCGGTGGTCGGCTGACACGAGCGGCGGGCTTCACTCAGCGGAAGCTTCTCCTCCGGGCGGCGGTCATGTCGCACGTGCACACCGTGGTCGTCGCGATACGGTCGGGATGCGTGTCGTTCGAAATGGTCGTTCGTCACCGATGACGGAACGATACTCGCGGCGGCATTCTTCCGTCCACGATCTACGCGCGACTCGGCTGGTACGTTTGCGTTGGCCAGCGTCGGGTGGGCCGCGCGTTCCTCGATTTTCATGGAAAACCGCGGACCTGGGGGCTTGCGCTGCGCGTGTATATCTGAAGCGAGAGATGCGACCACTCTGGTCCGCGAATTCCGGCCGCTCGGTTTCGCAGCCTCCGACCGGCGGGACCAGAGCGCCGCGACGCGAGGCGCCCTGTGCACATGCGTTGAGCTTCGCTCCTCTCTATCTCTCTCGCTCTCTCTCTCTCTCTCTCCCTCTGCACACCCGCACCCCTCGTCACCGTGCTTCTCTCCACGGTTCTCTCCTCTCTTTACGCCCCCGTGATCCAACGCGACGGTGGTTGCGTATATCCAGCCATCCCTCCTCCGCCTTTTGTCTCCGTCACGCTTTCTCGCGTCCTCGCCCTGTCTCTCTCCTTCCTCTCCTTTCCTCTCCTCTCCTCTCCGCTCCTCTTCGCTCCGCTCCGCTCCTCTGCGTCTCGCTCTCGAGCTTTCTCCCGCGTTTCGCTCCTCCGTCTTTCTTTCACTCGTCGCGATCCCATCGGTCGTGCCTTTCCCTCGATCGCTCGCTTTTCTCTCCCTCGATTCCAAGGATCGAGGGTTGCCAGCGGAGATACCCTGTCACGCTGTTTCTTTCTGCGTCAACAAAGGGAGGCGTACCGCTCGATAGCATTTGATCGCCCGTATTGGACGCCTCGTGGCCCGTATTCCACGCTATCCCCGAGCCGGACGAGTGAAAATAAATTGGTGAGTCGATGAGCGACGCTGGCCATCGAACGCTTAGCAAACGGACGACGGATGTCGCCTCCATGAGGGCACACGCGTTCTCGTGCCTCGATAAAACGCGTTCCTCGTTGAAATTTCGAAATGTACGCAATTCTAGAAATATTTTTTCCCTCCTTTCGTTTTGTTTTATTTTCTTTTTTTCTTTTTTTCTTTTTTATTTGTTGGATTCGTAAATGTATTTATGACGCACGTTCCCGTTCCCCTCTCGCGATGGTAGGTTTTCCAGGGTGGAATCCGGGACTGGTAGGGTGGACGGTTCAACGTTCGAGCGAGCTCGGTTGAAACGCGAAGGTTAATCGATCAATTTACTTCGATTCGCGGCCGATATTTCGCCCGTATCAATTCCATCTTTCATTCGCTTTATCCGCCATAGACGTTATCTCCGACTATACAATTCGTATCGAAAATAGAAAACTTTCGAGCGACCGTTGCTCCACCCACGCGATCCTCCCCCTCCTAGACCCGTTCCCAAACGCGTTGGTCACTGCCTCGTGCTTTCGAAAAACGCGGCAAATTTTCGTTCCGCTTCGTAAAATATCGCCTATTCGGAATCCGCGATTTATTTCCGAAAAATCTTCCCGTTGCTCTCTCTCTCTCTCTCTCTCTCTCTCCGAAAATAACGAGACGCGAAGAAGCATAGTTGCTCGAAGGAGTATTCGAGTGGTCGCGTGTGCTAAGTTTTTGATAAATGGAATGCTCGTGTCGGAAATTGTTTTTGGAGATATTTGGTACGAGATACGTACTTGGAGAAGAATCGCGGAAAATTGAAGTAAATAGAATTTGATCGAATTCGTAACGCTCGATTAAATATTCCGGGATCAAATTTTCGCACGACAGGAGGTGTATGTATTTTCTTTAGAGATTAATTACACGAAACGATCGCGTTTGGAGATACGGTTGTTTTTCAATTATTAATTAATTATTAATTTATACCGATTATAATGAATCCCTCTTTGAAAACCATGGAGCCGCATCAAGCGTCTAGAAGAGCCGCCATTCAAACACCCCTTGAAATATTTAATACGTAGATAATGGTAACTAATTAGTATAAATTACCTTCTTATCTTAATAAATTCAACATTATCTTTGTTAATAACAGTTGTAGGCTTTCAGTAATTACAAGAGTGAGAAATCGGAAACTAATCATTTTGATTAATTCAGTGCTGCTTTTACTATTGAAATTAATATTTATAGATGTTTCTCTGAAATTTCCCATCCCTTATCGAATTTTTTAACGATCCCACCTGTTCGTCCCAATATTTATATTCTGCGCCCATTAGATGTCGCGGGATTCTCAAAGCTTCGAGTTCAAACGCCTATCTCATTCGTCAAAAATTCGGTACTTGGCATATCAAGTCTTTCGAATATTTTCTCGATAGTTTAACTGAAACAGAAATTTAAGATTCGAAAGAAAGAAAGATTGCAAGTTCGTTTCGATGAAAGATTTCAGATTCGACCGCCGAAATATTCCAGATTCGACCGCCAAAAAATTCAAGATTCAACCGTCGAAAGCTTCGAAGTTCATTTCGCAAAAGCCTCGGAATTCGACCGTCGAAAGCTTCGAGATTCGTGTCAACAAAAGCCTCGGAACTCGACCGTCGAAAGCTTTGAATTTTGTTTCGCAAAAGCCTCGGAATTCGACCGTCGAAAGCTTCGAAATTCGTGTCAACAAAAAACTCGGAATGCGACCGCCGAAAGCTTCGAAGTTCGTTTCGCAAAAGCCTCGGAATTCGACCGTCGAAAGCTTCGAGATTCGAGAATTCAAGATTCAACCGTCGAAAGCTTCGAAGTTCGTTTCGCAAAAGCCTCGGAATTCGACCGTCGAAAGCTTCGAGATTCGTTTCGCAAAAGTCTCGGAATTCGACCGTCGAAAGCTTCGAGATTCGTTTCGCAAAAGCTTGAGAATGCGACCGTTGAAAGCTTCGAAATTCGTGTCAACAAAAGACTCGGAATTCGACCGTCGAAAGCTTCGAATTTCGTTTCACAAAAGCCTCGGAATTCGACCGTCGAAATCTTCGAGATTCGTTTCGCAAAAGCTTGAGAATTCGACCGTTGAAAGCTTCGAAATTCGTGTCAACAAAAGACTCGGAATTCGACCGTCGAAAGCTTCGAATTTCGTTTCACAAAAGCCTCGGAATTCGACCGTCGAAAGCTTCGAAATTCGTGTCAACAAAAGCCTCGGAACTCGACCGTCGAAAGCTTCGAAATTCGTGGCAACAAAAGCTTCGAAATTCGTGTCAACAAAAGCCTCGAAACTCGACCATCAAAAGAGTCATTATTCGTTTCGAAAATCGCCTCAAGATTGGAGAGACGAAGCGACAAGTCCGTCCGCTGAAAGCTCGGAGATTCGAGATTCCATTGGACGAAGGACTGGAGATTGGACGGTCGAAATGCGAGCGACGAGTGATCGGCTGGCGCGATGCACCACGTGCCACGAGGAGGCGTACGCGAATCGAATTGAATGCGAGCCACTCGAACCTCGGCGGGACGTGCACGGCCTACGGGCTCGAGAGCCGCGGCGGAAAATCGGAGAAAATCCGTGCCACGTCCACGCGCCAGCGCCAGCACCGCCAGCCGACGATGGATCCCTGGGCCCGTCAATCTCCTCGCGGCCATCGCCGACTTATCGAGCGACCGGTTGCCTCCGTATCGCGTATCGGAGGCGCGTGGAACGGCCGTGGAGCGCCCTCGCCGCGAATAGAGCCGCGTATATCTATCCGTAACGCCCTGCGAGGCAGGAAATGATATAAATAGACGAGCATGCTATGGTCGCGCGTGTCGATTAAGCCACGCTCGATTCACCTGCGTGCAACGCTGATGGAATGGAAACTGATAATTCCAATGGCGCGAACGTTGCAAGAGGTCGCTGCTGCTCGCTCGCGGCTGGTTAGGCTAATGCGTACGCTTGCCGATGAAGGCCGAGCAATTTTTCCGTGTTTTTCCCATTCCAAAATGCGGCGAATCGAAATTCGAAATAGGAAATTTATTATTCCCTGCCTCTTTGTATTTTATTTTTCACTCCTTAACCCATTGACTGCCAGCTACGAGATATCTCGTAGTGTGTGCTGCAAATTTAAATTCACTACAAATGGCCATTTGAGTTAGGAATTATTAGAAAGGGTGAATGAAAAATGTATACAGCGTAGAAAACATATTAATCAATTTTTATTATTAAAACTATTAAAATTATAACATAGACGATTAGATCATTATATTTTGTAAAACTTCGTGTTTTCTTTAAAATAAAACCGTGGCACCCAGGGCAAGACGCGATAAATTTGCGTGGCAGTCAATGGGTCAAGGACTGAATTATTTTCCAATGAAGTATAATTCGGTGAATTTTTAGCAAAAATTAACGTTAGAATCTGGAGTTGCAGAATCGGGTTTAAACGGTGCTTATTTTGCTTGGCCTCGTATACACACCACGGCTCGCGTTCCTTACGTTTAGATCGCGAAGTATATCGTGAGTCATGTACGATATTATAGTGCATGAGATTAAACAGTTACCGCAAAATTGTAATTCTGTGACAATTTAAAAACACACGTGTACGTTTTCGTCCCACCAATGAGTCTCCTTGGACACATCAATTTCTTCTCTCGAAAGATCTTTCTTTCACGGAATGTGGAAAACTTTTAACGGAGTCAGATGGTATTAGCACTACTCACAAAGATGTGTCACAAGAGGGTCAAACAGAGGTATAATTCTTATGATTTCTGTGTCACTATAGAAATGTTACTGAAAGTATTTCATAAACTTTAAACAGGGTCCCAATTTCATCGAAGTTATTCGAGTAAATTTATTTATACTATAACATAATTTCTTACCGTCTAAACCGTAGGACTTTAAGTCGCGTTTCTATTAATTCGCTGCCAAGAGGACGAGGCGAGATTAAAGAAGATTAAACCCCGTATCGTCAGCACATGTTTCTCATATATCCTCGGGCACAACATCCACCTATGAAAACGTGACTTTAGGACACTCTGGCCTAGGCCTGCTCCTCGGTACGCGTCGACCTTGAAGAAAAACGAGCCGTACGATAATAGAAACCACGTGAATCAACCATCCCTGACAGCGCTGAGAGGATTCCGTTGGAAACGGAAGGCCCCGGGATTCCTGTTAATAACATCGCTAATAACTCTGCCGGCGTAACACGCGTCGCGCGCGCCTGCGCGGTCCCGGGCGATCCCGGGGCGACGCGGAGCGTAAAATTGCGGCGCGAAACGCGATCGTTTCCTCCGCGAGATTCGCTGGATCGCCGGCTGAAAAGCCCGATGGCGAAATTCCCGCGTGCCAAAGGCGTTTCCAATTACCACGAACAAGATGTTGCAGCGTACGCGGAGCGGCAGGCGATCGA